GGGTGCGTTGAGGTTAAGGCCGGGGTGTCGCAGGGTCTGGGGCTACCCCGGGGAGCCCTGACTGGCTTAGGAATTGCAGAAATTTGGGAAAAACCTGAGGAGACGAGGATGAACGTCGGCGTGGCACACAGCGAGGTGAACCCCAACACGCGGGTGATGAACAGCCGGGGCATCTGGCTGGCGTACGTGATCGGAGTCCTCCACGTCGTTCTCCTCAGCATCCCCTTCTTCAGCATTCCCGTCGTCTGGACGCTCACCAACATCATACACAACCTGGTCAGTCGGAGCTTGGCACGTTTTTCTCCCAAGCGGGCTACGCTTCTGCGTCCGTGGGCTGCCGGGGTGGGAGCTGCAGCGGATGAAGTGTCCTTAGCTTGGGAGACAGCGGAAAGGCATGGAGCACATCCCAGCAGGGGATTGTCCCCGGCTTGCGTCCCATCTCCTCTCCCCTTGGAATCTAGCGACTGGTTGGAGCGAGTCCAGAGGAGGCCCCGGAGATGCTCCGAGGGCTGGAGCCCCTCTGCCATGGGGACAGGCTGGGGGAGTTGGGGGGTTCAGCCTGGAGAAGGGAAGCTCCGGGGAGACCTTATTGCAGCCTTCCAGTGCCTGGGGGGCTACAAGGAAGCTGTGGGGGGCTTTTCCCAAGGGCAGGGAGTGACAGGACAAGGGGTGACAGGTTTGAACGGAAAGAGGGAGATGGAGATGGGACATGGGGAAGGAATTCTTCCCGCAGAGGGTGGGAGCACTGGGACAGGTTCCCAGAGAAGCTGGGGATGCCCCATCCCTGGGAGTGTCCAAGGCCAGGCTGGATGAGGCTGGGAGCACCCTGGGCTATGGAAGGGGTCCCTGCCCACAGCAGGGGGGTTGGATGATCTTTAAGGTTCCTTCCAGCCCAAACAATTCCATGATTCTAACCTGCAGGTCATGTACCTGCTGCTGCACACGGTGAAGGGGACCCCCTTCGAGACCCCGGACCAGGGCAAGGATCGCCTCCTCACGCACTGGGAGCAGATAGACTACGGGACGCAGTGCACCTCCTCGCGCAAGTTCCTCAGCATCTCCCCAGTGGTGCTGTGAGTGAGGGGGGGGATCTCAGGAGGGTGTCTAGGGCGGGTGGTGGGACCCCCGGCCTTCTGTCGGCACGGCTGCCCTGGCAACGCCGTGTCCTGGGTCGGGGGGAGGTGAGGGGGGTGGGTTCCCCAACCACAAGGCACCCGAAGCCGGCCGTGGGGAGGGTGGGAGCGACACAGAGCTCACCCCAGGGTCTCCCCCCCCAGGTACCTCCTCACCAGCTTCTACACCAAATACGACCCCGCGCACTTCGTCGTCAACACGGCCTCCCTGCTCAGCGTCCTGCTGCCCAAGCTGCCCCAGTTCCACGGCGTCAGGCTCTTCGGCATCAACACGTACTTGAACCC